TTGCATCAGAGCTGGCTCTTTGGTGGTCTCTCGGATTTTGAAATTTGGGTTTAACAATGGTAGTAATAATAATAATAGCAGCTAACATTTATTGAAAGTACTGTTTGCTAAGGTTTTTTTGTTTTGTTTTTCGTTTTGAGTTGGAGTCACTCTCTGTTGCCCAAGCTGGAGGGCAGGGGTATACTCATGGCCCAGTTGACCTGCTGGGCTCAGGTGATCCTTCCACCTCACCCTTCCAAGTAGCTGGAACCACGGGTGCACGCCACCATGCCTGGCTAATTTTTAAAAATTTATTGTAGACATGAGGTCTCTCCTGATTGTTCAGGCTGGTCTGGAAGCCCTGGACCCAGGCAATCCTTTCGCCTCCGCCTCCCAAAGTGCTGGGCTGCTAAGTGTTTTTTTATCCCTTGACACATTTGTATGTCTTATAGTTTCTGCCATATGGGATGCCTTTCTTTCTTTCTTTCTTTCTTTCTGGAAAAGCTCATTCTTTTAAAGGCAAATTAAAAATATTGTTCTCTCTCTCTTTTTTTTTTTTTTAGTTGGAGTCTTACTCTGTCACCCAGACTGGAGTGCAGTGGCACACTCCCGGCCACCGCAGCCTCGACCTGCTGGGCTCCGGCTATCCTTCCACCTCAGCCTTCCAAGGAGCCGGAACTACAAGCGTGATACCACGCCTGGCTGATTTTTTATTTATTGTAGAGATGAGGTCTCGCCAATTTGCCCGGGCGGGTCTCGAACCGCGGGCTCAGACAATCCACTTGCCTCGGCCTCCTAAAACACTGGGATTACAGGTTGAGCCACCGAGCCTGGCCTGTTCTCTATTTTTAAGAAAGCCTCCCCTGAGGAAATTCAGTCTGTTTGAATCACATTCCTCTGTTATCCAGGACGTTTCCGTTGTGCTGTAATGATCAGTTAGGGTGTCTCTCACAGTCAGATTGTAGGTCCTTGAGGTGAAGACCACCTTTTACGCATTTTTGGGTCCTCTGGAACGTCCACAGCCTCCTGCTTTTTCTAAGTATCCCATATTAACTCTTTTGAATAAACGAAACAGTGAATTTGACCTTGAAGCTACCAACACTAACACGCGCACTACACGTTATAGTCTGTAAAACGTTCCCTTACTGTTACATTCCATTGCCACATCTTTGTCAGGTTAGTTATCATAAGCGTATTTGTCTTTGAGGCCATTTGCTCAAGTGTCAGAGCCGCGGTCTGACGCTTTCTTGCTTGATCCTTGGTCTTGGGATTCTTTCCACTGTATCATAGCTATCACAGGAGGGGCTGATCCCTTAAAGAATGGGCGCTTTTACACAACTGGAATGGAAGAGTAGACAATGGCATCCCCATGCAGGGAAGAGGTGGCGCACAGCTTGAAGCTACAAGCAGCAAACACAGTGCACAGCAAAAGATGATGAGAACGTCAGCTGAGCCTCTTTACGTTACTCGCGCTCAAAATCCTTATGGGGCTCCAGGTTTTGCCTCTAGCTCCGAATCGCCCCGCCTCTGCTCCTTCCCTTCGCTCGGCTCGGCACCGCCTCTCAGCCACTCTGAGACCACCTGCCAGTCTTTGAAAGCTCCTATTGGCTTGTCCCCTTTCCAGGCACCTCCCACCAGAGGCTCCGCCTTCTCCAAGCTACGCTCGAGATTTCTTTCCTCTGGCGCAAGAAGCGTGGGCGGCGAAATCTGTCCGTACAGCGGCGGGGCAGTCGAGCAGCCGGAAGCGGGCCTCTCTTTCCCAAGAAGCCCACTGCCTTGTGGGATAGTGGCGTGCTCCACCCCCTCACCCCGCCTCCCCTAGCCCTACTCGGCTAGAAAGGTTTTTCGGATCTCTCCACCCGGACTCGCTCGTTGAGTACGGAAGCTGAGAGGGCCGCGGGCAGCCATGGCGGCGCACCTTAAGAAGCGGGTGTATGAGGAATTCACTAAAGTGGTTCAGGTAAGCTCCGGCAGGCAAAGTCCCGGGCCCGGGACCTCTCCGGGGCAGGAAAGATTATCCGGACCCCAGGCACTTTTCCAGAACGTGCGCCGCAAGCCCATACTGAGTGCCGACTACTTGCTAGTCTGTCAAGATTGCACGTTAGTGGGCGTGTTAGTTTGCAGCCGCTATTGTTATTATGAACTGATACGTGTCGTCTGACATGATTTTAAAAAATAAAAGTAGAAGAAACAAGTAGCGCTTTACAATTTATGGAGCTCTTATCCGTTAGCCGCTTTAATTCTTTCACACAACCTTGCTAGATCGGGTTGCATTTTATCCTCGTTTTCCAGATGTGGACGTGAGCCTTCCGGAGGGGTAGGAGGACACAGCCAGTGAGTTAGTGGTAGAGCTCTTCCTAACTTCTGTGAAAAAAAGAAAAAAAGCGCAGGGCCAGATAGGCTACATGCAAAGCTCTAAGGGGCTGGAAGAAGGGTCTATACAATTCCTTCAAGGCCAGTCAGAGCAGGCGAGGTTTACAGGCTTCATACAGGAAAAGCTCTCTGCTGGTGGAACAGCCAACCTAGGAAGGAGGGCAATGCCTTCCTCCCATGGAGTTGTTTAAGGACAGGTGGGCTGAGCCCGTGTCAGAGCAGTCAGTGATGCTCCGTGTGTCTCCACATAGCTGTAGCTAAAATAGTCTGATCTCAAATCATCTTTGTCTTGCTTCTCAGACTTTAATGTGTATACAAACCAGCTGGGGATCTTGTTCTGGTGTAGTTTCTAACTGGTAAGGCAGGGTGGGCAGGTGAGGTGAGAATGTGCATTTCAGACAAGCCCCCAATTAATGCCAGTGGATCACTGCATCCTTAGCTTCCTAGACTTGTGGTAGCAAGCCTTATCCTAAAGGAAACTGCTTCTTCAACATTACATTCATTCATTTGGCAAGAGTTTCTTGAATAAATGAGTGATTACTGTATACGAGGCATGGTGAAAGGTATTGAGCTACAAAGTCCAATACTCATCAGAATTTTGGCCCTGTAGGAGCTCTCAGACTAATGGGAGAGCCAGAACACCACATCTGTGCTTATAGTACAGTGAGATAATTGCATTGGCAAATCAAGTCTTCCTTCCCTTCTCTTTTCCAACTCCTCCTTATCCTAAAACCAAACTCTTTAGTCCTCTGTGATCACACAGTATTTTTTTCCAAGCCTTATTACTTGTCATTTCCTTCCTGTTTTGTGGGCTCATATTTGTAGCATGCTCCCATAGTCCGCAGGGAAGTTGGTCTGCTGCTTATTCTTGTTTATTTTTACAATATCATTGATTGAAATTTTACTTTGATACATTTTTTTGTTGCTTTTTTATGTGAAATTAATTTTCCTGAGCTTTTAGAAAGAGTGAAGATTCAGGAAAGCTTTTCTAACTTTGCCTCAGCCTTCCAAGTAGCTGGAACTACAGGCATGCACCACCACGCCCGGCTAATTTTTTTATTTATTGTAGAGATGAGGTCTCACCAAGTTGCCCAGGCTGGTCTCGAACCCCTGGACTCGGGCAATCCACTCACCTTGGCCTCCCAAAGCGCTGGAATTATAGGCTGAGCAACCGATCCCGATCAAATTTTAAATTTTTTAAGGACAGAGTCTTGCTCTGGCTGGGGTACAGTGGCACAATCATAGCTCACTGTAACCTTGAACTCCTGGGCTCAGGCGATCCTCCCTCTCAGCCTCTTGAGTAGCTGGGACTACATGCCACCACACCTTAACTAATTTTTAAAACTTTTTTTGTTGTTGCTTAGATAGGGTTTCACTATGTTGCCCAGGCTGTCTTGCACTCCTGGTCTCCAGCATTCTGCCTCAGCCTCTCAAAGCAGTGGGATTTCAGGTGTGAACTGCCATGCTCAGCCCATTCTCTTCATTCAGTGCTACCATAATCACTAGTCTGAGCTCTTTGAGGACAGAGATAATGCCTGCCTCATCTCTGTGTCCTGTAGATGGACAGTAGGGCCTGGCTCGCTAAAATGTTGTTTTTCTTCATTGTAAGCTGCAGACAGTTCCCATCATTTCTAGCTTTTTTTTTTTTGTCAGAGTCTCACTCTTGTCCAGGCTGGAGTGCAGTGGCTCACTCACGGCCACTGCAGCCTTGACTTGCAGGCGATTCTTCACCTCAGACTTCCAAGTAGCTGAAACTACTGGCATGTACCACCATGCCTGGCTAGTTTTTTAGTTTTTAGTTTTGAGTTGGAGTCTCACACTGTCACCCAGGCTGGAGTGCAGTGACATGCTCGAGGCCATTGTAGCCTCGACCTGTTAGGCTCAGGTGATCCTTCCACCTCAGCCTTTCAAGTAACTGGAACTACAGGCACGTGCCACCACAGTTTTTTGATTTATCGTAGAGACGAGGTCTCACCAAGTTTCCCAGGCTGGTCTCAAACCCGTGAGCTCAGGCAATCCGCTTGCCTCTGTCTTACAAATTGCTGGGATTGCAGGTGTGATCATGGCGTCCAGCTGGTCTCTAGTTTTCTAAGGAGGGAAGCCGAGCCTGGCCTCAGCACAATTTTTATATTTGTATAATTTATATTTGTTTTTTAATAAAGAATAGGGTAGATCCTTGGTATGGCTTCTGAACCTAAAAACTACAACAATCCTCAGAAGTTGGTAGAACAAAATATTAGTGTACCTGTTTTACAGAGAAAGAAAGTGAGACTTGGAGAAATTAAATGACTTGCCCACAGTTGTAGGAGCTCGTGAAATGTGAAATTTAGACTCCTGGCCTTATCACCTACTTGGTGCTCCTCTTCCAGTTCATATCAGTGTGTTTTCTTAAATCTAGGTGTGTTAGCTAAGTATATTCTTTGAAAAAAACAAAATTATTTCTACCAAATGAGACAAAGTTAAATGTATATACTCTGTATTTTCAGTTAAATTTTTATGTCTTATCTTCCTACCCCCTTGAAGCAACAACAGGAGGAAATTGCTACTAAGAAACTCCGACTGACAAAACCAAGTAAATCTGCAGCACTCCACATAGATCTGTGTAAAGCTACCTCCCCAGCAGATGCTTTGCAGTACCTACTCCAGTTTGCCAGGAAGCCTGTGGAGGCAGAAAGTGTGGAGGGAGTAGTCAGGATTCTCCTGGAACATTATTACAAGGTAAGAAAATCTTAAGGACCTGCCTGATAGGAATATGTATAAGAGTTATGTTGTATCTGCAGACTGGTTAATATTATAAATAAAAAAGAAGGTGGTTATTCAGCTAGCTTTTATTGAGGTCTTCCATGTGCTAGGTACTATGATATAGAGGTAAAAAGAGACAAATCCTGTCCTCAGAAATTTACAGTATACTGGATGGAGAAAGACACGTAGATGATTAGGTGCATCATATCACTGAAGGTTCTGTGAGAGCAGGGGAACACAAGAGAGGAGTTAACATTAGCCTCGACCCTTCTGTAACCAGATTCATCCTGGAATGTAGTCCCTTCAGCATCCTGCTGTTCCTGACCTAGTTCACGGCCTTCGTATCTAATAGCAATAGCCCAATAGTGGTAACCGGGCTCGGTGGCTCAGCCTGTAATCCTGTGCTTTGGGAGGCTAAGACCCGCCTGGGCAACTTGGCGAGACCTCATCTCTACAATAAATCAAAAAACATTAGCTGGGTGTGGTAGCGCGCACCTGTAGTTCCAGCTACTTGGAAGACTGAGGTGGAAGGATCGCCAGAGCCCAGCAGGTCGAGGCTGCAGTGGCCAGGAGTGTGCCACTGCACTCCAGTCTGGGCGACAGAATGAGACTCCAACTAAAAAAAAAAAAAAGTAAAGTGGCATTTAATTAAATTAATTAATTAATTAACTTCAATGGAATTAATAAAATATCAGTTCACACATGATTAAATACAGGAAATAATGCAAACAGAAAATGAAATTCACAAAATATGCTTATTTTTCAGTTGATGTAGGTGAGATCTGAAGTAAAAGGAGAAACAATTATTTCAACCTCAGATTATTTAAAATTTAAAACTCTAGAATGCAAATTATTAAGCTTATTGAGAAGTAGCTAACATACTATAATGAACTACCAAATACTCATTCCTGGGATTTAACAGTTGTTAATATTTTGCCAAATTTGGGCCAGGCATGGTAGCTCATGCCTATAATCCCAGTGCTTTGGCAGACAGGTGGGAGGATTGCTTGAGCCCAGGACTTCAAGACCAGTCTGAACCCTGACTCTGAAATTAGCTGGGTCTGGTGGCGTGTACCTGTAGTCCCAGCTACTTGGGAGGCTGAAGTGGGAGGATTGCTTGAGCCCAGGAGGGTAAGACTGTGGTGAGCCGTGATTGTGCCAAAGCACTCTAGCCTGGGTGACAGAGCGAGACCCCCAACTCAAAAAAAAAAAAGAGAAGAAACGTATATCTATATTTTGCCATATTTGCTCCATCTATTTGTTTTCCTAAAGTTTTAAAAGGTATGTATCATTTTTTTCCTATTTCAGGATTTATCTCTAAAAAAGGGACATCCTTTTTTTTTTTAACATAACCACCTAACCACATTGAACAAAACTAAATAATTCCTTAATGTCATCTAAGAATGAGTTGATATTGAGATTTTGCTGGTTGTTCTCCTAATATCTTTTTATAGTCAATGTGTTCAGATCAGAATGCAAACCAAGTTCATCCACACTGGCATTTGGTCTTTTTAAAAATCTAGATCAATTTCTATTATTTTGGCTGCATTGTTCCGATGAAGAAACTAGGGCAGTTGTTTTGTAAGATATCTTGTTTTCTACATTGGTTTACTTCCTTGGGGGTTAACTTGCTCTTTTGTTCCTGTAATTACTATGAACTAGAAGTTAGATC